AGCTGATGCTCATATTCTTCCAGCCACTGGTGTCAATTACAAAAATGCTCTCAAAATTCTAAACTACATCCATTCTACAAAAACACCGATGGCCTATATAGTACCAACTACAACAGAGTTAGATAGCAAGCCAGCACCATTCATGGCTTCCTTCACCAGTAGAGGCCCGAGCACAGTTTCACCCAATATTCTCAAGGTAAGCGGAGATACCGATTTATATCCAACTATTGCAACATACGATCTAGAATGAGTAAAATGAACACAAATAACATTGATGGCTTACTTGACAGCCAGATATTACGGCTCCAGGGCTAAATATATTGGCTGCATGGAGTGAAGCCTCATCTCCAACAAAACTAGACCAAGATCATCGTGTTGTCAAATATAATATCCTATCAGGAACATCTATGTCCTGCCCACATATAGGTGCAACGTCTGCACTTCTGAAAGCCATACACCCGAGTTGGAGTAGTGCTGCTATAAGATCTGCTCTGATAACCTCAGGTACATTTGTGCATCATGTCCAACATTTTTATGGACTAGTAGTATTTATTTCCAATTATCTTGAATATTTTTGCCTGCAGCGGAACTGAATAACAATTTAGGCATGCCAATAACTGATGCGTTCGGTAAGCCGGCAGATCCTTTCCAATTCGGATCAGGTCATTTTAGGCCAACGAAAGCAGCTGATCCTGGACTTGTGTATGATGCATCATACATGGACTATCTTCTTTTCCTCTGCAGCATTGGGATTAAGAACTTAGATTCTTCGGTCAAGTGTCCTATAAAGCCACCCTCTCCTTCTAATCTCAATTATCCGTCCCTCGCCATTCCCAAACTCAATGGCTCCTCTACTGTAGAGCGAAGAGTCACAAATGTTGGTAGCAGTAAGAGTGTCTATTTCATCAAAGTTAAACCACCACCGGGATTCTCCGTGAAAGTCTCACCTTCAATTTTATTCTTTAATCATATTGGCCAGAGGAAGACATTCACCATCACAGTAAAAGCAAACAGGGTAAACAAAGGCATGGGGAAAGACAAGTACGCATTTGGATGGTATACATGGTTTGATGGAATCCACAATGTCCAAAGTCCCATTGCAGTTTCAGTCGCATAGATTTTTTTTTTTTTTACCTTTTGTTTTTGTGGTTAATTTCTTGTATTATCATCAAAGCTGTATTTATCATTAATGAAGCTTGGCATCAATAAAAGGCTTCATCACTAGACAAACTTTATATATCAAGATTGTTGGAGAAATCACATTAATTCATATGCTAAATTTATTTGTGTCAACTGTCTCCTAAAATTCTATCGTTGAAATGATGTATTGAGGAGCCTCCTTGAATATCGGATAGTCATATTGATTATTCTGTAATTTTCTATGTCATCTAGCTTGTATAAATTGGACTATAATCTGATGTTTTTGTAAGGTATTGAATTAAAATTTTCTGAGATTAAGTATTTAGCCTTCGTGCTTTCAAATTGGTATCAGAACCTACAAATAAAATAAAATAAAATAAAAAATTATAGAAATTGTGTTATGAATACAGCAACAGCAACAGATTTTGGAAAGAAAAAGTCGTGGCAAATTCAAATAATCTGGTTTCTCTTATTCCTCGTTTTAATGGGGAAGATTATGATTATTGGAGCCATAATGTAAAAGTTTTGCTGAAATCATTGAAGTTGTGGAGCATTTTGGACGAAGGTTTTGAAGAACTAGAGGCTAAAAATGGATTGACTCAAGTACAGAAAAATGTTTTAAATGACAGGAGAAAGAAAGATAACAAATCTCTTTTCTATATTTACCAATCAATTGAAAGATCGGTGTTTGAACGAATCTCAATGGGGGAAACTTCAAAGCAAGCTTGGGAGATTTTATAAACTGGTCATCAAGGAGAAGAGAAAGTAAAAAAGGTACTTTTGAAGTCTTTCAGGTTAGCATTTGACAAACTTGAGATGAAAGAAGAAGAAAATATTTCAGATTATTTTACAAGGGTGACCTCTACAGTAAATCAAATGTCATTCAATGGTGAAATTTTAGAAGATCAAAAAGTTGTGGAGAAAATTCTTCGAAGTTTGCCACAAAAATTCGACTTCATAGCAGCCACTATTGAAGAAATTAAGGACTTGTCATCACTTACATTAGATGATTTACTTGCATATTTAAAATCTCATGAATTGCGATTAAAGCACATGAATCCTTCCTCCCCCGACCCAGCTCTTAAATCTCAAATTTCAGGAGGCCTTGGTTCATAATTTTAGTAGACAAGGTACGAGAAGAGGAAAATGTGGAGATTGAGGAAGAGGCTACAATACTCGCGGAAGAGGATTTCAAAGTGGTGGTGATTCTAAAGAAGAAGAAAAAGATGACAATACAAAAAACTCTCAACAGGGACGAGGCCGAGGATAACAATAAAGAGGTAAAAAAGAATACATTGAATGCTATAATTGCTATAAACCTGGACACAAAAGCAATGATGGTTGGTATAAGCAAAAGGAATACATTGAATGCTATTATTATTATAAACCTGGACATAAAAGCAGCAATTGTTAGTATAAGCAACATGAATACATTGAATGCTATTATAATCACAAACCTGGGCCCCTGGCCATAAAGCAATAAGTGTTGGCACAAGAAGATGGATTATAAAGTTGGAACAAGTTTTATACATCAAGACTACAAAATCGAGAAAAACAATTGTGAAACTTTATTGCTTGTCATGATAATCAAAAGAATGATGTTTGGTATTTGGACAGTGTTACTAATAAGCATATGACCGGAAATAAAGCCTTGTTTTCTCAATTGTTGGAATCGGACATGGGGTAGATCACAATTGGTGATGCAAGAGCTTGTGCAATTAAAGGCATTGGACATATTAGAATTGAAACCAAGGATGGAAAAATTGAAAATATGTCTAATATATTTATGTTCCTAGTTTGAAAAGTTACTTGCTTAGTGTTGGTTTTCTTTTAAGAGGATTTGATGTTAATTTCTATGATAAAATGTGCACCTTGATGAAAGGAAGTCATACTGTGGTAAAGAATCCTTTGACGTCAAATAATATGTTCTCTATTCAGCTTAATGTCATTGGCATTACTTCTTAGTTTGCTGGCATGAAGAAAGGGGTCTCCAATAAGAATGTTTGGAAACCACCACATCTTTGAGTGGTGAGAGTCTTTCATATATATAGTGATGTAAAGATCATATAATGGGGTGATTACACATAAATGTTGATCACTAAATATATGGAAGGAATTAGCTAAACAAGCTCCTGTAATTGATATAATTGAGGGTCAATGGAAGCACATATGGAATGCCTTAGATTAAGGCAGAGGATCTTCAACACCTCTCCGCAAGTTGAACGTCGAATTTGAACAGACGTGGAGCTTGGAGCAACAAAAGTGAAAGAGAGGCCGAGGCACACTTTTGGTGAAGATATCGACAACCTGTAAGTGAGAGGGCACATACTAGGTGTGAATTTTTCCACAACAAGTTCATGAAGAAAATGGTAGTCTAACTCAACATGCTTGGCCCAATTGTGAGAGACGGGGTTGGAGCTCAAGAAAATTGTACTTTTGTTGTCACAGAGGAGAAGACGCTGCTGCGGGAGGGAAATTCGAAGGTCACGAAAGAGATGCCTGAGCCAAAGAAGTTCAGCGGCAGTAAGAGCGAGGGCACGATACTCAGACTCACAACTTGAACGAGAAATAGTAGGTTGTTTCTTGGCACTCCAAGAAACCAATTTGTCGCCAAGGTAAATAGAATAACCTGAGGTAGAGCGACGAATGTCAGGACACCTTGCCTAGTCTGCATTAGAGTAAGCGACTAAAGTACCGGGAGCAGTAGATGGATGAAAAGTGAGCCAAAATTTAGTGTGCCCTTAACATAGCGAAGAATGCGCTTGATAGCAAGAGAATGGTCTTCAGTCGAGGAGTACAGGAATTGACCGACAGAGTTTACCGCATAAGCAATATCAGGACGCGTGATAGTTCAATACTGAAGAGCACAACAAGAGATTGGTAAAGAGTGGGATCTGAAAACATAGGACCATCAGAAGACAGGTGCTCAGAAATAACCATGGGAGTGTGAACATGCTTGCTGTCAAGTAACTGAGCTCCCGTGAGAATGTCCCGTACATATTTGAGCTGACTATGAACTAGACCATTGGTGGTGGATGTAGCTTCTAGACTAAGAAAGTAATTGAGAGAACCCAAATCCTTAGTGGCGAACTTAGAATTAAGTTTACGAGTAAAGCTGTCAAGAAGAGACGAGTTGTTACTTGTAATAATGATGTCATCAACATAAAGGAGCAAATAAATAATTTAGACTTCTTGTGGAAGACAGAGAGTGATGTGTCAGCACGACTGTAATAAAAACCAAGTTGAAGGAGAAATGAGCCGAATAGCTGAAACCAGGCATAAGGAGCCTGTTTGAGGCCATAAAGAGCTTTTTTCAACTGACAGAGATGATTGGGAAAGCGAGGGTCAATATACCCGGGAGGCTGTTCCATATAGACATGTTCAGTAAGATGACCATTAAGAAATACGTTCTTGACATCAAGTTGGCGGAGAGGCCATTTGTTGGTCATAGCAAGAGAGAGGAAAACACGGACAGTAGTATTTTTGGTAACAGGGCTAAAGGTATCAGTGTAGTCGAGACTAGGTACGTGTGTATAGCCTTTGGTAACAAGGCGGACCTTAAGACGCTCGATAGATCCATCGGGCAAGTATTTGGTCCGAAACACCCATTTGGATCCCACAATGTTGGTGTTGGCAGGTTTAGGAACCAAAATCCAAGTACGATTATTTTGTAGAGCTTGAATTTCTTCATCTATTGCGGTGAGCCAAGCAGGATTCTTAACAGTAGATTTGAATCATTTGGGCTCAGTGGATGCAAGTACAGCAGAGAGAAGACTAGATGATCCCAAGAGAGCAAGATTTGCTGGGTGGCGAGGTTTGAAAATACCAGTTTTGGCTTGTGTAAGCATGGGATGAGAAGCCATAGGAGTAGCCGCAACAGGAATAGTGATAGGCAGCTCAGTGGTGATACGCTCAAAATGAGGTACCAACTAATTTCCTTACTTAACTTTAAATGTGTCGTCTTAAATAGTAATATGGCAAGTAAGGGTCATTTCTCGCAGAGGATTGTTTCAATTTAATTAATTGCACACTAGAAAGTGAAATTAACAATAATATACTAAAGTGATTAAATGGGGGGATTTGGTTTGTTGAACTAAAGAAATCAATAACTTCAAAATAGTAAAGACTTGAATTTGGAAATAAACAAAGTAGTTTTTAAATCAAAGATGTGAAGATGTGATTGGGGGAATATTTCGTTACCACGAGAATGATTTTCATATCAATTACACAATAGATTTTCGTTCTCTAGATTAACAACAATTCGAGAATAATTACAAGC